GCCATCTTAAAAACAAAAACAAAAACCTCTTAACTTCTCTGTCACCGTGGTGGTAGATGGGTTATGTAGAGTAAGCTAGGGAGTGAAGTAAGAGTCATGGAGGGTTTTAAATCATCAAGGAGTCAGGGGGGCAGACATAGATATCAGTATGACTATGATCTCAGCCAGAGGCACAGATGGTGGCGTCATCTGCCTGATGCTTTGGTGGATTCCATCTGTAAGTTAGATGCGGAAGCACTGACCCCCACCGGTCACCTCATCCAAAAAGACAGGTCTCCAAGTCCCAAGCTGATGACTAAAGCTAGGAAGGAAGGTTTATCCTCGCCTGAGAGCCATGCTTCCAAAGGAAAGTCGTGGGTGCAATCCCCGAACACACAGAAATGGCAGGCAAGGACTCCAGGGGATGGACAGACCATGATTGCTATTGGTTGTGGTCTCCAAACATCAAGACCCAAGAGCCATACCCCTAAATTGTTGTGGGTAGAGTTGCAGACAGAACCAAGTGTGACCAGGTAGAATTTTTTAGATTAAGAAGGAACTAAAGGGCTGGACAGTGGTGGTGCACGCCTTTAATCCTAGCACATGGGAGGCAGAGGCAGATGGATCTCTGTGAGTTCAAGGCCATCCTGGTCTACAAAGCTAGTTCCAGGGTATCCAGGGCTACACAAAGAAGCTCTGTCTTGGAAAAACAAAAACAAACAAACAGAAAAGAAAGAAACTAAAGAAGGCTGGTGATGTGGTGCTCACACCTTTAATCCCAGCATTCAGGAGGCAGAGGCAGGCAGATCTGAGTTTGAGGCCAGCCCGATGTACAGAGAAAGTTCCAGAACAGCCAGGGCTACACAGAGAAACCTGTCTCAAAAAACAACAGAAAGAAAAAAATGGAGGAGGAGGAGGAGGAAAAACAAAAGGTTACCCTCCTAGAACTTAAATTGTCTCAGAAGTATACCGGCCATGTGGCCACCCAGCCTAGTGGCCTCATGGGCTGGCTCTTCCACAATCACTGACTGAGCATGACTGTGCTATGCATATTTTTGGTTCAGAGATACAGCCATGAATTGGAAAGCTAGGGTTCTGCCAAGGCAAACCTAGCTGTCATCTCAAAAGGAATAATACACCAATATGAGAGCCCATGGTCCCAAATGCAGACTCAGCTTACCTCAGGTGACTGCTCCACCATCGACAGAAGTTACCTGAGTTATTTGGTTGTTAATCGTTTGTTTCTAAGACAGGGTCTCACTATGTTGGCTTGGCTGGCCTGGAAAACTCTGTGTACACCAGGATGGCCTTGAACTCACAGAGATGCCTTTGCCTCCCAAGTGCTGAAATTAAAGGCATGATCCAGCAAGCCCAGCCCAGGTTGCATGAACACTTATTAGTCATAGATGAAGACAAATGCAAAATTCAACCCATTTATTAAATACATTGGTGGGGACTACAGTTAGATGAAGTACAGCAAAATGGGGAAAACTGTTACATCTTCAGTGTTTGGGTCGGTGGGACCTCCAATTGTCGCACCTGCTGTGCGGCCTGCATCCAAGAATGTAGCGAGGTGGTCGGGATAGATGACACAGAGACCGGTCGGTTGCTTTAAGAAAACTTTATATTTCCCAAGTCAGCTTAGGAGGAGACCCCAGTCCGCTTAGGAGAGCTCTCAGGCGAAATCTCAGGAGAAGTCTCTGGTGAAATCTCTGGAGAAGTCTCTCTAAGAAAAAGGAGCTTCCCTTTTTAAGGACTTCTGCCATTCATCTACATACCATTCTTTCCTCCTGGCTGGTGGTCTAATCTCCGGCCCCAGAATCGGGGAGACACCACAGGAAAACAGGAAGAGGCATCTAGCCATAGGAGGTGTGAAAGGCATGGTATTTCAGTGAGCAAGCCCTTTCTCAGCCCTATGAAGAGCTTTAAAGCACTGAATTGTTTTCAGTAAACAATACACAGATGCCTGCTCCCAGGCCGAAGGGGAAGTGGGTTTCTGCTCAAGGTCTGGTGTCCCCACACTAGTGGTCTACTTAAAGTATATTCCAAAGGTTTTTGTCCGATACCAAAAAAGGCTTAGGTCACAGAGGTGGGCTAGTAAGAAGAATAAAGACAGCGCGAGGTAATTCATCTCTGAATCTACACCATTCCAACTCTCCACAATCACAAAGTTTGAATCAGTCAATCAGCCTTGTAGAGTCTTCCAGATCTGTGTGGCTTCTCTCTGGAAACTTCCATTCAGAGTGTCCATTTCAAGAGGCTCAGAAAGGGAGATGTTTAGAGAGAGGAAAAAAATATTGTTGTAAGAGCACAGGTGGGGACGCACAGCCAGCCAAAGGGGAACTTGAGAAGCTGAGACACGTCATGGCTGTGCAGGAGCAAGGGGTAGGAGGAAATTAAACCAGGCAAGTGTGTGCAAACTGTCCTGAGAATCCCTCCATTGGCCATAACTCCCCTACTGCCCCTTGGCCCAGTGACCCTTCACTCTCTGGATGGACACTGGGGCTGCCATCACTCATCCCTCCCTCCTCTTCCCAGGGCTCCATTCCTGCAGGCCTCCCCTGGTACTTGCCACTCACCTTGTATCAGTGAGCAGAGACAAGTCACAGGTCTGGGCATCGGGGAGTGCAAATGACGCCCAGTGAGAGCCTTATGGATAAGGGTATGGCACTGACACCCTTTTCCTCCAGCCATATGTAGCCTCCTTCATCTCTCTAGCCTCACCTCCTTCCGGTCTCCCTCACCCATTCTCTTCCACTAATGCCGCAGCATTTTCCTACTCGCCAAATGCTCACCGCGGGGTCTTTGCACTTGCTGTGTCCTCTGCTTGCAACACTGTCTCGTCTCACCCAGATAGCCGTGTGGCTCACTCCCTCACCTCCCCCACTTCTGTGCCAATGCCACCTCCTCAGAGGAGCTCTCCCTGACTGCTTTATCCCAAACAGCTCCTGCATCACCCCCTGTCCCCTTTGCCCTGGTGGGGGGCACCCGACAAAACTTACCTGCACTCGATACAGGATACATTCGCTGGTTTCCCTGCAAGACTTACCTGCACTCGACACAGGATACATTCGCTGGTTTCCCTGCTAATTGTCCACTTCCTCTCCCAGCCTGAAGGCAGGCACCACACCTGGCTTTGCTCTGATAGACTCAGGAACCTGGGAAATCGCTACATTTTTTATGAAATGAATAGTTTCAATGATGTCCCAGAGTCCACAATCTGTTCATTTTGACTCTTTGAAATGATTGTGACCTCTTTTCCAATGTCCGGTGACCAGATGTAGCCTCTGGGGGAAGGTCAGAGCCAAGAAACTGTTAACACAGGGTCTACCCTAATCCTCTCATGCAGGGCCACCTGGCCGGGGTCAGAGGTGTCAGCCTGTCCATCCATCTTTGGCCTTAAGGTGGAGAGACCCAGGGTTAGGTCCAGGCCCCAGGGATTCCTGGAAAGGCTCATTTCTCCTTTGGCAAATATCCCTGCTTCCTTCCAGGGCTTGTGCCTGCATTTCTGAACCAGAAGGTGTTTACACAAAACATCCTGGGTTTGGTGACAAATTCAACCTCCATGAGGAATCCTTAATGAAGCTTCCTCCTTCCCCACACCAGGCAGCTGCAGAGTAAACTGGCTCAGTCTCTGGGAACTGAAGGCAGCCCAAAGCCAGACAAAGAGGAGGTGCTTCAGGGCTTCATGAGCCACAGTAGGAGAATATCCAAAGACAGCTGTGCGGTTGAGCCCAGAGCCCCACCCCAGATCTGTGTCTGACCTGCCCTTGTCCCAGCCTCAGCCTTCAGCTGTAAAACTAAACAGCAATGACCCCATCTATACAAAAGGGGCCATGAAATTCAAGTGAGGCGGAACATTAAAGGCCTAAGTCTCTAGGAGTCCATAAGGGAGACTAAAAAGTGAACATCACATCTGGGCCTTAGGGCTGGGGAGGTATCTCAGTGAGTATGTGTTCACTCTAAAAGAATGAGGACCTGGGTTCGAATCCCAAGCACCCACACATGGTTGTGCGGGACTGTTACCTCAGCATTGGGTACATACATAGAGCTCACTGGCTAGCCAGCCTAGCCCAAAAGCGAACTTCTGGTTCAGTGAGAGGTTCTATTTCAAGACAGGAAGGTGGAGAATGACAGGAAGACAGCTGACACACTACTCTGGCCTCTGCATGTGTCTGCATGGACACAGGTACCCCCATGCTTACATGCATACACCACACACACACACACACACACACACACACACACACACACACACACACACACACACACACACAGTAAAATGAGGTGGATACAGCTCAGGGGTAGAGCTGAGCGTGTGAGAGGCACTGGCTTATTCCAGTTATACACACAGATAAGCAAAAAGGCATCGGTGAGGCAACAACTCCCAGGCCTCACCTCTGAGCCCCCAGCTTTGCAACTGTGCTCTTCCTGACACTTCACTGCTCGCCCTGGACAATTTCCAGCTCCTTCTGCGGGTCTCAGCTTGCTGCTGCGGACACTGGATTCAACAAACGCAGCGGCCAGACAGAATTTAAAATGATTACTGTTTCCTTTTCATCTTCCGGAGAGGGAGAGTGTGTGTGTGGGGAAGGGGGGCAATTTTTATCACCCGTTATTTACAAGCTAGAAGCTGAAAGTATCACCGGTTAAATATGTCTCTCTGCCACACTCGGTTTCTCGGCATCGTTAAACAGGACTTAGGATTTCTGTGTCTCCAAAGCTCTTATCTATCCATACTATGTAACCCTTTTCCCATCAGTGTTCGCTGTTTCCCTCTAGGATGACGTTTCTAGAGTCGGGACCTTTTACTCATTGCTGTCTTCCCGTCACCTAGCCTGGCACATGGTGGATGCTCAAGAACCCTTTGAAGGGAGAGGAAAGAAGAAAGCGCACTGAGCAGCTCCCTCAGAGACTGAAGGGGGCGCTCCTGCCTCGTTCCCAAAGCTGGACCCGCCCCTCTGGCGCCCCGCTGATGCGCATGCGCCACCTCTCCAAGGCCCGCGGGTTTTTTTTCACTGCGCAGGCGCGCCGGAAGTCCTCAGCGTGACGCGTGCGTGGATGGAGCAGAAGTGGCGTTGAAGTAGTGCAAGAGATTTTGAGACCTGTGTGTCACCATGCTGTCCCCCGAAGCGGAGCGGGTGCTGCGGTATCTGGTCGAAGTGGAGGAGCTGGCCGAGGCGGTGCTGTCGGACAAGCGGCAGGTAAGAGACGCGGCTGCTAGCTTCGTACGCCAGCGCGCGGGGTTCCGGAGCGAGCGCCTCCTCTGCGCCGGGCTTAGCCTTCCTTTCATCCTGCCCCTGCGGGTCCCCTGGATCCTTACCCCCTGCTTGCGGCTTCTTCGACACCGGTTTCCAAACGTGAATCAGACTGCTGAGACCCGAGCGGCATTTGTCTGGACAGTAGGGTGACGTGGAGTGGGGCGGGGGAGGTTGGAGGGCCTCTAGACCCGAAAGGCGAGCTTGACTCTGGATCTATGGTAAGTGACTCTCCAAAGGGAGTGCATGCTGAGAATGTTACCATTGGATTTTGACTGATTGATAGGTTGGTTTAGATTCTACGGCGCACGCCTTTAATCCCAGCACTCGGGAGGCAGAGGCAGGCGGATCTCTGTGAGTTCGAGGCTGGGCTGGACCGATAGCCTCCAAAACAATACAGAGAAACCCTGTCTCGAAAAACCAAAAAAAAAAAAAGTCTTCTCTGGCTGCTAACTAGCGTGCAAAGGACCATTTAGATCAGTGATTCTCAACCTTCCTAATGCTGCAACCCTTTAATACATTTCCTCATGTTATGGTGATCCCCCCAACCATAAAGTAATTTTCGTTGCTACTTCATAGTTGTAAATTTTTTTTTCCTAGACAGGGTTTCTCTTTGTAGTTTTGTAGACCAGGCTGGCCTCTGCCTCCTGAGTGCTGGGATTAAAGGCATGTGCCACCACCTCCCCTCACCATAGCTGTAATTTTGCTGCTGTTATGACTTGCAGTGTATTATAATGGGCTTGGCCGACCCCTGTGAAAGGGTTGTTCAGCTCCAAGGGTCAAGACCCACAGGTTGAGAACCATGTATTTCGCTATTCAAATCTGGATTTGGACCAGTTGGTCGTAGTGGAGAAGTTGGAAACGGTCTCCAAAGGCTGTCATAATTACTCCTTGTGGTCTATAGTGAGAAGGCCCCGGCGGTTCACAGGCAGTAGGATTCCTGTGTGCTCAGCCCCAGGGTTACCACCTGAGTCGCTGTCATGGTGGTGAGCCTCCATGTCTGGTGAGACTGTCAGATTTTCCTTCAATAGCCTGTCAACAATAACTGTCCGGGGAGACACTAAACTCCCTGGTGACCTGGTACATGCTCGGGTTTGAATGGATGGTACACATACTTCCTAATTGGTGAACCTTTTCCTAGCACCTGCTCTGTAGGCAGGAGGCTCCTGTACAAGTCGAGGGGCTGGCAACTGAGTGGGTGGAGAGGCGCACATTCGAGCTTCAGTCTCTGTCAGGCTAGCCCTGGGCGCCAGCCAGGAAGGGCACCTTGTCTCTTCAGGTTGGGGCAGGAGGCAGCTGAGTTCCTGTCTACTTCTGTTTTCAGATTGTGGACCTGGACACCAAGAGGAATCAGAACCGAGAGGGCCTGAGGGCCCTACAGAAGGACCTGAGTGTCTCTGGTAAGTTGTGACAGCCTCGCTGAAGCCCTGGAAGATGATGCAGTTCTTTTGTGAAGGCCTTTGTTGTCCCTGGTAGACAGCAGGCAGGAGGCTGGGACTGTGTGACTCAGCCTCTCGGGAAACTAAAACAGCTTGTGGAGAAGAGCGGGCAAACGTTGCAGGTCAGACATATGCTGTGAGTCAGAATTTGAGCTGCTCACTTCAGTGGCAGGCCATTAGCTTATCACTCATCAATGGCAGATACTGAGAGTGCTCACAGCACATAAAAGCAATGATAGCTCTGCCCTTATGTCCCACATGAGGAAAAGCAGTGGAAACTATAACTGAGAATTGTGGAAAGTGAAAGATGGAGTTGGCCGTGAGTGGGTGTTGAGACTGTCTGCGGGGAGGAGATGCTCTTCAGGTGAGGCCAGGTGGCTGTGACTGGCAGTGTGATGTGAACTCGTGGGGACAGCATGAAGCGGTAGTGCATTCAGGCCATAGTGAAAGGCTGCTTATCTCACCAGAGTAAAACCCAGCGTTGTCCTGCAGGATTGATTCCACGTGACCCAGCCCCACACAGACTCCACCATATTAGCCCCCACTCTCTCACCCACTCATTGACTCATTGGTCTCTTGGTTGTCTGACACCAAAGCACTGCCAATTCTGGCTGTTGCCGTTCCTCTGCCTGGCTCTGTCTTTCCAGGTGTCTAGGGGAGATGTCCTCCCTTTCCTCAATTCTCTGCCTGGATGTCACATCTGCAAAGAGCCCTTGTACCTCTCCTGATGCTTCCCATCACTTGGCAGTGTGTAAAAACAGCTTGTTTATTCCCTGTCTTTGTCTTTCTTGTGAATTTCATAAGAGCAAGAACTTGTCTTGTTGGGCTATGTTCTTAGCATCTAAACAATGTCTGGCAGATAGTGCTTCAAAAAGAAGAAATAAAACATGTTGAAGAAATGTCTGTTTGCTATTTCAGAAGATGTGATGGTTTGCTTTGGGAACATGTTCATCAAAATGCCTCACCCTAAAACGAAGGAAATGATCCAGAAAGGTAAGGTGTCCTGGGAATGGTCAAGGACATGGTTACCCCCCCCCCCACCAGTCATTATCTAGAACTGAGAGGCAGCTGTACTGTAGAGTCAGGGTGGTTTTGGTTCCTGCTCTGCCACAGTGGGCCTTTCTCATCTGTGAGTGGGGCATCTACACAGCACAGTTGTGAAGCTGAGATAAATACTATGGTTAGCATTATTCTTGTTTGCTAGGGAAAAGTCAGTTACAAAAATTTACAAATTGAGCTTAAAGTACCGTTCTGTTTTCCTCATTAAAAAGTTGTCCAAAGGAAGGAAAGAAAACCAACAATGATTTTTTTTTCCTAGAGTATTGTTGAGATGGCTCAGCAGGTAAATGTGCCTGGGTTCAACATAGTAGAAGGAGGAACCAACTCAACTTGACTCTGAGCCCCAGCCACACACAAAATGCACACAAAGTAAATAAGTCAGCAACAACAAAAGCAGTTTCCCAGACACTCCGTGTGGCCCCATGGCATAGTCCCTTGGTCATCAAGCATCACTGGAGTGTTACAGGCTGGGGAAAGGCATATGAGGTCTTCATTTTCTGTTTGAAAATAAGGTCATTTGCCAAAACCTTACTGGTCAAGGCCATCCATAGCTGTAAAGGGTCCTGGATAAGTGAGCTTTTGCATGAGCCTCTCCTCTCTCTCTCTCTCTCTCTCTCTCTCTCTCTCTCTCTCTCTCTCTCTCTCTCTCTCTCTCTCTCTCTGTCTATCTGTCTGTCTCTCTCTCTCTCTCTCTCTCTCTCTCTCTCTCGTGTGTGTGTGTGTGTGTGTGTGTGTGTGTGTGTGTGTGTGTGTGTGTGTGTGTGTTGCACTGGGTATGTGCATATAGAGGTCAGAACAGGATGTCTTCCTTTATTATTTTCTACCTTTTTTTGGCTAGGCTGGTTGACCAACAAGCTCTCTGGATCTCCCTGCCTCCATCCTATTACAGGCACGTTCAACCATGTCAACCAGCCTAGCCAATGAGGTTGGTAGACCCCAGTTCTAGGCAGTCAGATAAAAAATGATACTATGCATAGGTAATGGCCAGAGACTATGCAGCTGAAATCTCAGGGGTCCTGCTGACCCACAAATGTTGTCTAATCTCTATCTGGGGGGGTTCTAGAAAGTCATCATGCTTCCCCCAACTCAAAATAGGCTGAACAAGTTCATGGGACACTTCCTTATTTACAGTGAGAAATAAAACCATTACCAAGGCCATGAAGCATGGCTAGTCAAGGCTTTTCTCATTGGGAAATGAGACTAGGCAGTGAACTTACTAAGTAGATCGTCCCTCCCAGGAGTTGATGATCAAGCTTTGGTAAGTTCCTGTGTTGTTGTACTGCCATTTGTCAGGGGCAAACTGTGGTGCTGGTAGACTGGTCCTTCCTGTCCACCGTGGCTGACCATACTCAGGTTATGCTGGAGCAGGAGGCTCTCCCTTGGGCTACTTAGGTCACATTTTCACAGGGCCTTGACTGAACCTGGGTTTGTAAAGTTTCTTGACCATCCACCAGCCAGCCACCTAGCATACTTTGCTACTTACTCTAGTGTTAATTCTTTCTCAGCCGGTCTTTGAGGTCACCTTTTTTCCTTCCTGTGTGCTACGAGCCTAGGCTCTCATGGATGTTAGGTGGAGACTGGGGTCCCTTGCTGCGGTATAACCTTGTCCTCTGCCTGCTGCATTTTTTCAGATCAGGAGCACCTGGACAAAGAAATAGAAAGACTCCGAAATCAACTTAAAGTGAAAGTTAACCGCCTCTTTGAAGCCCAAGGTATTGGCTTGGCAGGCTGGAAGCTGGGCGGGAGGAAACCACTGAAAGAATGTTAGAGAGCATGCATGGAAAGCCACTCGGGTGGGCAGTGGGACATAAGCAGTGGTTATCTGTAGCTGCTCAGAGGTAGGACACAGAAACTTGTGAGGCTTATTCTTGTCACAGATCTTTTTCCAGACACCAGGAGCTTCCCAGGGTGATCTTTCTTGCATGGTATGGGTACCAGGGTAGCTAGGACAGGAGAAACCTAGAAGACTTTAGTCACACAGGTCAGAGCTTAAATTGAGGTAAACTTAAGCACATCAGATTGCAGGTTTGATGAGAATCTGCAGATCTATGTGCAGCAGTTATGACGTTGCTAGTTCTTGGCCAGGAGCAGTGTTGACACGTATCAGCCTGTGCACTGCAGAATCCAAGGCCCAGCCCTGCACCTCCCAGGCCGAGTTGGCAATGTTAATGCAGTGTTAGCTACTTTCCTGGGCCTGGCTCCAGAGTCAGCAGTAGGTTGGGCATCAGGGGGCCCAGTTTGATCATGACTGTCTTCTTCTTGCAGGAAAACCGGAGCTGAAGGGTTTTAACCTGAACCCCCTCAACCAGGATGAGCTTAAAGCCCTCAAGGTCATCCTGAAAGGATGAGACTCAGACAGCAGATGGGGGGCCTGTGACTAGGCCCCCCAGCCTTGAGACCTGCAAGGACAGGATTGTCTCTTTAAGCGGACAGGCTCAGGAATGTGGCTTCTGTACCAAATCTTTTTCTGTAGTGCTTGGCTGCTTTGTGACAAGAGAGAACCCTTAGCCTGTTCTGTGTGCTTGGCCTGGCTACCAGAGCTTGGTGGACACAAGACCTATTGACAGACACTGGCAGCCATCTGTAGGTGTGTGGGGGTGTGAGAATGGCTGCCACCGACACTTCTCAACAGTAGCCTGCTGTTTAGATAGGCCTGGCCAGCAATGGAGAGGGAGGACTGGGAGCTTCATTCCAGCTTTCTGCATGGCGAGGCATTTCTAGGCAGTGTGTGTGACAGCTGGAATAAAACGGGAGACTGACAGTTTGCTTCTGTGTGAAGCAGACAGATCCTTAGTGTCCCACACCAGCTGCAGTTAGACACATTTTTCCAGAGCCCCCAGTCCTGCCCGTTTTCCTGCTGGCTTTCCATAATAGGTACTGTCAATCACCTTCTGTGGTTGCTCTTGAGATGGGAGGCCTTCCAGAGGACTGGCCCAGGGCAGCCAAGCAGTGTCCTTCCTAATGTGACTCAACATGGAGCATCCTCCATGACCTCTGACAACAGGGCTAGGCTGGCTGAGCTGACTTCATAGTGAGTGTGCTGTGAGCAAAACCGGCCTCGGTTCTCTGAGGCTCAATAAACATTAACTGACCAAACCACAACTCTGAGTTGTCACCTCACTCAGCTCTTCACCAAGGGCCCAGCCCCTTTTATTAGAGTGCTACTTAAGAAAGGAGGTGGCTCTTGCCTTAAAATGCATGACATCAAGAGTAGACAGGCAGAGGCCGCTGTCTTTTCTCACTGCACTTTGATCCATAGTTACATCAGAAACAAGCCAGCATACCCAGATCCTAAGCTTCTTCCAAGATAAAAGAAGGGGCTGGAGAGGTAGCTCTGGGGTTAAGAACACAAGCAAAACATTCAAATACCAATCTTTAAAAATTAACTAGTCAGGTGTGTTACACACCTTTAATCCCTGCACTCAGGAGGCAGAAGCAGATGGCTCTCTGAGTTCCAGGACAGCCAAAGCTATGCAGAGAGGCCTTGTCTCAAAAAACAACAAAAAAGGAACTAAAAATTAGAATTAAGCCAAATACTTCAAATATTGTTGATATTTTCAGGGAATATTTAAAAACCTGTATTGATCAAGAAAAACACCTAATGTAAGACAGATTAAGCCCATGCTTATAGTTTTGTTTGGTTTTTGGTTTGGTTTTATACACTCCTGTGATAGACCCAGACCAAGCTGCAAGTCTGTGCAATGGGGTCTAGTTAGAAGACCACAGTTTCAGAAGAAGGCATTGGCTCAGCCCAGGCCAAGGGAGGTTTTAGAACCATGAAGTGGGTTGAGCAAAGCAAGGGCTGACCAGTGTGTGATGTGCTGACTAGAGATGTTGTGTGGTCCCCTCAGGACAAACTGCAGGGCCGAAGGGAGGGAATTAGTGTATACCTCTGATTCATGAATAAAATACAAACTTAGCAGAATTCACTTTGATGGCAGCTACCTAGTAGGTCTACCTGGCACACAATTTCTCCCCTGGAATATTGTTTCTGCCTGCCAGAGTGGATGCTAGACCAAAGAACCCATCAGTTCTGTATTCTGGGAGTGAGAACCTAGAGTCCATGCCCAGGGATTGTGGGCTTGGGAAACCCATGGGCTCCAGAAGCTGAGTCCAGGGTGACTCAGCTCTCAGCCCCCCATGGCCGGTTGGTTCACTTTGTGCTTTGCTGGTGCTTCTTCCCCAGACTTCTCTTTGGGCTTTCTTAAACATTCAGGTTTGCATTTGTAGGCAAAAACACAGCCCAGAAGGTAGGTAGAGCTACCTGGCCTCCTGGAGGCCCCTTCTCAATGAAGCACCATGCCTCCAACTCAGGCTTACTGCCAGCTCCTAGGCCAGGAGGAGACCTCTGAGCAGAATGCAGATTGCACTACTCCCATGTGATCTTGTCTGTCAACTGTAGCCTCACTTTCTGATTTTAAAACTCAGCCCCAAATGAGAGGTGAGTTTTCCCAGAGCTGCGGGCTAAGCAATGTTGCCTTCCCGGGTCTCGTTTTCATGAGACACAGGAGGCTCCAGTCCTGTGGTTTTCACATGGCCCTGTCTGTGGGTCCATGTGAATCAGAGATTGCAGAGGATGGTATGTTTAGGGCCTGACACATTCTCAGGCTTCCAGTAAACAATCTAAAACCGTTTACTTTGCAAGCATAGCTTACAGACAAGTTTCCGAGCCCAAGGGACCCTTCACCATGACCAGAGACATCAAAATGGCAGTGGCATCCTTAACCAGGCCCAGTGCTGACTGACTCAAAGCCTGTGCTTTATTGACATGTTCTCAGAGTGGAAGAACTTGCTGCTTGGCCTCTTTGGGCTCAGTCACCAATCTGTCAAGGATGCACCCACCTGGCCCCAAGGATTGGCTGTCCCTGGTTCAAAGATGGGGTGGGGTGGGGCTGGAGTGGGGAGTCTAGGGTGTCTGGCTCAAGTAGCAAGCCGAGGCTACCTATCCAGTAAATAGCTGCCAGGCTGGAGGGAGGTGAAGACTGGTGCACTGTGCTGGATCCTGCAGCGAGAGGCCGGGGTGGCACCTGCCGGGGCCTCACTCCTGGCCGAGGTCAGCCAGGGGCTTTCTTCTGCACTTGAAGGGATCGGAACAACTGCCTCAGCTGCTCCTTCCGGTCATTGACGCAGCCTAGAAAGAACACGAGGTGTTGGTTGGGGTGGCCTGTATACCCACTAGCTGGTACAGGGAGGGGCAGCAGGAATCGAGTAGCCATGGGTGGCCCATTCCTGTATTGGACCAACCCTCAGCTCACCTCTGAGCATCAACTTTCTGCGAATGGCACCACCTGCCTTGCAGAGTGAGTTCAATGGTCAGCAAAGGCTTGAGCTGACTGGGAATTCACCTGCTGCTTCAGACACTGGCCACATGGCTTGTTAAGCCCTCACAGGAATGGTGTGCAGTCAGGGAACTCAGAGAGGTTGTCATTTACCCCAAATTGCATGAGTAGCAGAACCGAGAGTTGATCCCAGGCTATGTAGTGCCAGAGTCGCATTCAACTGCTTCTCCAGACTACAGTGTTCTCATCTTTGCCCAGTGACAACACAAAAGCCAGCAGCACCTGATGCTAATTTACCTTACTGGATGTGTGTCCCAGGCAGTCCATGCCAAAAGGCTGCCTCTCCAAACATTCACCAGGCAACCTGTTCCCTGCTTGGTCTCAGAGCTGGTTCTGAAGGCAATACCAGTCTTTAATCTTAGCCAGGCACATTTGTAATACTCGTAAATGCTGCATGAATGGCCTGACACACCATTGGTCACAACTGATCTGGCAATGCCTGCTTCCTACATAGTAACTCTAATCCCACCCTTATCTCCAAGGCTGTCCCAGCTGTCAAGGCTTCAGCACCCACCCTGTGCATCCTTGACATTTTCCAAAGTGATTCCAGGGAACCTGCTTCAGTATTTTTAGCTTGCTCATCATGCCAAATCTTCAGGTTCAGTGCAAATCCTTTCTTGGAGTTCTAGACTCATCCCTGGATTTTTATTTGTTTTGTGTTTGTTTATCTTTGCTAACCTTCTCACCTAACGTCCCTGAACACATTCTTAACTTGTCCTCAACCATCAACATTCTTCCTCTGCCTGCTCCCCAAACAGCTCCTCTGTTTACCACCCAGGACTCGACTAAAAATCTGAAAGTAATTCTAGAGACTTCTACAGATACTGGTCTCCTATTGGAGTGCCTGCAAATCAACCATATCTTCATTTCTATTAAGCATCTGGATTTTTCAAGTCCAGTCTCTGCTGTCGGAGCAACCATTTGCAATCGGAAGACAACCTGAGCATTCAACCAACCTGCTGAGTGTGGCAAGGAGGGAGGGAAGAGCCACCCAGGCATCTCACAACCATTGTGCCAGTCCCCTATGCCATACCTAACTCTTTTGTGGCCTGAGACACCTCTCTCATACCTCTTCCCTCACCCCTCCCCACCTTCAGGGTCTCCTGGATAATATTAGGCAAGCGCTCTACCATTTTGCTACAGCCCCTCTTCGGCACAGTGTTTTACTAAGTTAATTAGACTGGCCTTGAACCCATTCTGTAGTGCAGGCAGGCCATGAACTTGTGGTCCTCCTACCTCGCCCTCCCTAGTGGCTGGGTTTACAAGTATTTAGCGCTAGGCCTGGCTAGGTCAGCCCCTTCCTACTTAACTATTAGTTGGATTTTGTTGTGTGCAGCCAAGCCCAGTCTTACACCATACTAAACTCTCCAAAAGATATAAAATTTCTCATCATAAAAGAAATAGGAATTCAGCACTCAGGAGCCAAAAGCAGGTGATCTCTGAGTTCAAAGCCAACCAGGTCTACACAGTAAGTTCCAGGCCATCTAGAGCCACATAGTGACACCCTGTAGCAAAAAAAAAAAAAAATAATTTTAAAAGGAGCCATAAAACAAACTTTAAAACAGCAAATGAGAAACTCCAGAAAATGCTTACATTTGATGGAGCAGGGTGGGATGGGCAGTATCTTCAGCCATTAATGTGATGTCTTTACAAATGTGGAAAATTAAGGGTAACCCAGAAAAAAACAAGTACAGGCTGGGCATAGCAGTACACAGATTTAATCCCAGCACTTTGGAGGCAGAGATGGGGATTTCTGTTTGAGGCCAGCCTGATCTACATATTGAGTTCCAGGCCAGCCAGAGCTGCATAGTGAGACTTTGTCTCAAAAAAAAATTAAAGAAAGAAAAACACGTGTCTACAACCCCAGCACTTTGTAGGCTAAGGCAGGAGGGTTAGAAAGAACTTCAAGGCCAGCCTTAGCTCCACAGTAAATTCAAGGCCAGCTTGGCCTATGTGTGGCTCAGTTGGTGGAGTGTTTGCCTGACATATATGAGGCCCTGGGTTCATGAAAACCTGGCATGTTGGCACATATCTATGGTCCCTGCCTCAGGAGTAGAGACCAGTGAACCATAAGTTCGAGATCTTGGCTACATGGTGAGTTAAATGACAGCCTGGGCTACATGAGAACCTGTCTGAGCCACACCCCCAAAACCACACACACACAAAATAATTTCCTGTAAGAACTTGGTTCATGTTTTTTCATAAAAGTAGTCTATTATTAAAAATAAAAAGGAGACCATAAGAAGCCATCACAGCTTACAAAAGAAGAAAGACAAAAACTGAAGTCGCCCCAGAAAGCAATGAAATTCCCATAAAATAATAATGATTCACTAAGGGATGAAGGTTTGGATTCCTTTCTAGTTATCCAGTAAGTCTGCCCCATTGTCCCAGTGACTCTGCTTCCGCAGATTTAGAAAGAAATAGTTCCAGTGGGTTTCACGGGAGAGGATGTTCACCATGATGCTGTCTGGAAAAGTAAAAAGATGAAATTGTGCCAAATGCCCAGCGATAAGAATCAGCCTGGTAAATGCGGGCACACAAGGAATGCTCTGCAGTTATGTGGTCACCACTTTGTAACTCTTCTGGGACTAGAAGAGTCTAGAGGTCAGGATTCAGCGGTTAGGGTTCAGGCTGACCCATCACCATGACAACAGTCTTCTGCAGTCTGTGTAACCTTTGCAGACCATTTCCTCCTCCATGGGGTGATCACAGAAGCTATCATATGAAATGTGGTAATGCACGTAAACATTTAGCCCAGCCCTG